AAGTAGAAGAGGTCCACCCGGGGACACTGCAGCCGCTTCAGGGATGTTTCCAGCTGGAACCAGATATTGTCAAGGTTCTGTGAAGTCCTGATCCTTGGAATACACTTAGTGGCCATTTTCACTTTGGGGAAGAACAGTAGAAGTTAAGAGCTGAGGGTATGTGTGTCTGTGTGCAATTATGTGTGTGAAGTGCTCATCATCTATTATTTGAGCCAAATGAACGGCAGGGCTTGGCAGCTCTGCCTTCAAACTCTCTTGCTTGGGGATAGGACAGGCTGGTCCTGGGGCTCACTTTCCAACTATCTGAGGGAAATACTGAACTCTGTTCAGTTGAAGAGAGACCTTTTCTAAAAAAAAAAAAAGGTAGAATGGATAGAAGAAGTTATGTATTTCTGGTCTCCACATGCATGTCAGCTTGGGCTGGAATACACTACATGTACAGACACACACACACACACACACACACACACACACACACACACACACTCACACTGTCGTGGTTTGAAATGGTATGCCCTCGTAATTCGGTGTGTTTGAGTGTTTGTCTATAGGGAGTGGGTCTATTAGGAAGTATGGCCTTGGCCTTGTTAGAGTAGGTGTGGCCTTGCTGGAGGAAGTATGTCAATGTGGAGGCGGGCTTTGAGGTCTCCTATGCTCAAGCTCTGCTCAGGGTGGCACACAGTCTCCTTCCAATACCTGCTGATCAAGATGTATAACTCTCAGCTCCTTCTCCAGCACCACATCTGCCTCCATCCCGCTATGTTTCTTGCCAAGATGACAATGGACTAAACCTTTGAAACTGTAAGCCAGTCCCAATTAAATGTTTTTCTTCATAAGAGCTGCGGTGTTCATGGTGTCTCTTCACAGCCATAAAACCCAAACAAGACACCACCACTTAATAGGAGGAGGCCGGAAGGTCATCCGTGGCTGTGCAGTGAGTAGGAGGCCAACCTGGGCTAGGTGATGTGTGTAAAAGGATCTTCTATTTGCCAGAAGTAATTGTCATCTCAGAGGCTCACTGAGCTTTGTCTGCTAACCTAGGCCTAGTCCTGGATGCCTCTAGCCTCCAAACAATCTAATCTCGACCTAGAATGTTTTCAGTCTATGAGACTTACTGCTGAATAACCTCACTCTTTAGTTTTTTTCTGAGCTCTTGCTGGCTGGTTCAGGCTCAAACTTGTCCCCAAGATGACTGGTTCAATCTGGCTTTTCTCAATTTTCCACTAAAATGCTCTGCTTGCCCACAAACTAACTCCAGCAATCTCTTTTAACCTTCTGGCTCCTTCCCATTCTTGGGCTAGTTCTGTCTTCACCTGTTTCCAGCTTGTTCTCTCTTCAGCCTATCTCTGTATAACTGTCCTGGTAGAAACTGCCCCTGAATCCCACAAACTCAACTCCCCCCGGCACTGCCTCTCATCTTACTAAGTCAGTGGAAGTGACTGGCTCAGAGATCTGCATGCCTGGCTCCTGAGTGCTTGGATTAAAGGAATGGACCACCATGCCCGGACCTAAGCCTTTCTTTACCTGAAACTTGCTTTATGTCAGGCTGGCCTTGAACTCAGAGATCTGCTTGCTTCTGTCTCCTGGGATTAGAGGTGTGTCTGTATTCCAGCCAGATCACCCAGACCTAGAAGGTCTTTGGATGTGCTCTCTTGCCAGAGCTGCCATGTTTTGAATTAAAATTCCTCTCCATGTGTGTGTGGTGTGGGGCAGGGGACAGGGAAGGTCAGCTCTGTCAAATCTTAGCGCTGTCATTAGTAGCTGTGGCCTTGACTACATCACTCTACTTTCCACAGTCCTACCAACTGTAAATGGGAGTTAAAGGAATAACAGCTCACAGAGAAGTCCCCAGAATTGTTCAGGCTAGGGGATAGTGGACATTAGGAGTAGTTAGTGCCCTCACCATGATAATTACACCAGGGAGGCAGGGAAGAGCATGCGGGTCCATAGCAGGGAGACAGACCTTTTCCTGGGGGCTCACCAGGCTCCCTCAGAATCTCATCTGAGTGTTTAGGGCAAGTGGGAGACCAGCAGAGAAGGAACAGAGAGACACCCACTCACAGGAAGTGCACAGGCTTTAAAAACAGGAGCAAGAAGGCCGTGGGTGGGAGCTGAACCTGCCCTCCCAGGTACCAGGGCTCCAGGTCTGGGATGGGGATACACGAAAAGAGAAAAGGCCACAGACGAGAAGCAAAACGGCCCTGAAAGCACCCCACATGGAGTCCTGACTTTAGATTAGAGGTTGTAGTGAAAGATCCCCGGAGGGTATCTTCCGTCAGAGAGACCCCCTCCCAAGGATCAACGAGGCCATTCGGATGCAAACAGCAAGAGGCTTTTATTTTGATACACAGGTACCCGGGGCAAAAAGTCTTTCGGAAGACTTCCGCGCCCCCTAGATGGGAAGCTGGGGTTTTTATAGGGTTTTAGAGGCAGTAGCACTGGTACAGACACGAGAGGGCATGGTTACAGGGGGCTGATTGGTACGTTTACACGAGACCACAATTTGCGTCAAAGTTTGGCAGGGGCACCAAGATTCCAGGAGCTGGGTGGTCAAGGGGGGTAGGATGACCCCTTGACGTGGCCCGCCACCTGTTATTTTGTTTTTCCCTATCTTAGCTGAAACAGTCTCACAGATATCTATGAGAGTGATTAACACAAACTGTTTTTAGTATGACTGGGGCAGCCTGACCACAGATATCCCAAGTGGGTGACACAGCTAGGATTTCTCAGTAATTTTCCAGTTTCTCATCTGGCCTTCAGAGTTTTACAAAACAGTGGTGTCTCACAAAATGGCATTAGCTATGTTTAACTTAGTGTGAGGCTGGGGTCTTTCAGTAGGTGGTCCCTGAATCTTCCAATTCCAGAGTCATCTGAAGATGTTTTAAAAGATGACCCTGAATGCAGCATGGATGATGGGCAGGTCTGATCACAGGGTGAGGAGGGTACAGAAGGAACTGGAGACAGAGACATGAGAGGCTTCCCCCTGAGGGCCTTGTGAGAAGGAAAGTCAGGGCCAGCTACAGACTCCACTTGTGAAAACAGGCCAGTTTTGGGCCATCTTTGTGAGTCCCTGCTCCTCTCCCTGTCCCTGCTGAGAAGCCCGGTTGGATAGTTGGATGATGGATGGATGGATGGATAAGAGGAACTTTCTACACTTGGAAAGTCAGTCCAAAGACAGTAGGGGGAGCCCTGAAAACCCAGAAGCAAGTAGGTCTGAGTGTTGTTTTAAAAAATGAAAATCCCAACCATTTGATTTTACCAATAAAGACTTAGGAACTAGATGCTGGGGTGAAAACCTATTACTCAGAGAGTCAGCAAAAGCACCCAGTTGACCTGCACAGCCTGAAAGACTCCTGCCTCACCCTAAGTTAAACATAGCTAACGCCATTTTGTGGGACACCACTGTTTTGTAAAACTCTGAAGGCTAAATGGGAAACTGAAAAATTACTAAAAAACCCAGCTGTGTCATCCACTTGGGATATCTGCGGTCAGGCTGCCCCAGTGGAGCTAAAAACAGTTTATATTAATCACCCTCATGGATATCTGTGAGACTGTTCCAGTTAAGATAAGGGTCCTAAGGAAAACAACAGGTGGCGGGCCAAGTTAAGGGGGTCATCATGACTGTTTCGACCACCCAGTTCCTGGAATCTTGGTGTCCCTGCCAAACTTTGACGCAAACCGTGGTCTCATGTAAACGTACCAATCAGCCCCCTGTAACCATGCCTCTCGCTTCTGTACCAGCGCTTCTGCTCTAAAACCCTATAAAAACCCCAGCTTTCCACCCAGAGGGCGCGCAAAGTCCTCCAAGTGACTCTGCTGCCCCGGGTACCCGTGTATCCAATAAAGCCTCTTGCTGTTTGCATCCGAACGCCTGGACTCGTTGGGCAGGGGTCTCTCAGACGAAAGATACCCTCCGGGGGTCTTTCACAGCCAACATCCCAGGAGGAAAAAGCCTTTTTACTCAGCTCACTGTCAGAAGGAAAAGGCCCAAAGGCCGTTCTTTCTTCCCCATGCTGTCTTAAGTACCCTTCTCTCAATGTCCCTCCTTTCTGTTTAATCCATCTCAGCTGCTTTTTTCCCCCTCTGCCTCTTGACCTTGGGTTAACTTTATTAAATCCTGTGTGCAGAAAGCTCTCAGATTAAAGCTGTGTGCCAGGGATGATGAAACCTAACCGTAACCACCCGTTTACAATAAACAGAAAGTTTTTGGATTAAAAGTGTATGTTAGAGCCAATGCACTCCACAACTAGAAACAGGTTTTTACAGTTTACAATCTTGGGGTTCACAATGGGAATCAAATATCCTGAAGCATCTGAGGAACTATGAATGTGGAAATTTTCCTTCTTTAAGAACATTAAGTTAGACCAGGCATTATGGGGCCTGAGTGATGGCTCATTTGTTGGCTATAAGCACTAGCTGTTCTTCCAGAGGACCTGGATTCAATCCCAGGACCCACCTGGTGGTTCCCAGTCATGTGGAACTCCAGTCCCAGGGAGATGTCCTTTCCTGGATTCCTGGGTCCCCAGGCATGGCTGCTGCCAAGCATAGCCCCTGTGCTCTCAATCTCAGAACCCACATGGTGAAAGGAGTGAACCAATGTCTTCAAGTTGTTCTATTAATCCCAAAGATGGAAGGAGATAGAGCATGGCCCAAATCGTCATGGTCAAATTAGTTAAAGCAATCAATTAATCAAAGCAAGCCTTTTTATTCCTATACACTGGCTGCCTCCCCCTCAGTCGGGGCTTGAGCGCTCAGCATTGAATGTGAGGGAGACAAGGCTTTCACAGCTTACCCAGACGGATGTCTAAATGGGGAATTTGGCCGGCAGGGGTTACAGGAGCAGAGCATCATAACAAGTTAGTCCTAAAGATCTTCCGAAACAAAAATATAGCTGCAAGGTG